TATATATATATCGATATATATATATCGTTTTGATAAAGTGACAAAATTTAAGTGGTGTGTATGATGAGCGAGTTGTTTGAATGTAACACCTTGGGATAGCATGGCCACGCATCATCACTGTCACGATCAAATGCGCATAAGCAATAATTGTCATCTTTCGGTACGACCGTTACCTCTGCTTCACACTGCAGCATTCCATCATCTTCCTCCTCAACACAACTGCACACTGAATGCGCCTGAAATGGGATGCAATTGTGCCAGCTGTATTTCTTCATTGTTGTCTCTTTCACGTTGTTATGAGCAATGTAATGAAACTTCTTCGATGGAAAAATGGCACTTTTTATGGTGAAACTCTCAAAAAACAAGTCAAAAATATGCATGAATGGAGCAAACAATCATTTCCATAGCATTCACAACTACAACGAAAGCACCGTCGACAATGTCAAAAACAACACGACAGGCTCAAACGGCATACGGGCTCAAATTTCGCGAAACCCGCTCCACGTTTCTTCAATTTGGATTCATCCTTGGAATCCAAGCCCAAGCTTCGATTTCGAGTCTTCAAAGCAGCATTTCGCATCGCTTCATTGAAGAATTTCAACTGTAAATAATCAGAAATGATGCATACAATCGTAGATACACTGTACAGCTCCTTTGCGATGGAATAATAATTAACAATTTGATATTGGTAGCAGTAAAAACCGAAAACTTCTATTTGTTGATTTCTGTCATGCTGCATTATTAAGCTGTTATGGTAATCTGGGCAGTATGTAAAGAAATACATGAGAAGTTTTTGAAATCATCCCAACGGAACAAGGAAAAGAATTAATAAATTAATTTTTTGGCTTACAATTGTTGCTATTGCATCTACATCGCTCACTAGACTTTCTTTGTAAGGATTCAAATTGCAGATTGTTATTGCAGGAAACGTTGCTGCAAAAATATTTGATTTATTTGTATTTCTCTTCATGGACAAAATTCGTAACTTAATTGGTATTCCAGCTGTTTCGTTTCAGATAAACGCAACAATTCTTATTCACTTGTTTCGAATAATTTTACCATTGAAATGAACTCAAATTTCAATGAAGTGTTCATCAGAATCATCAAGCATGCGTATGCGTAAATGAACTACCGAAAAAATCGGTTACCAGTATCGAATTTCAGTTGAATATCAGTGATTTTATCCTTTCGTTGATATTTGGCGACAACACTGACCGCTTGAAAGATGAACATACCCGCACAGCATAACAACAGTACGATCCAAGTACATCTACAAATCAAATGATCATTTTTTGCAATCGAACATGTTAAGTCTAACGTCTAACGAACCGATAAAGTGTGTTCGGCGCTTGTCCAAGCATTGGAATGCCGTGACTTGACGTTTTGTAGCAAAATTCTTTCAAGTGCCATCGGATACGCTCTTTGTAAGACAATCGTTTCGGATCAATCGCAAGACTTTGATCTTCAGTTAATAGATCACACTGCAGATTAATTTTTTATTCATTGCTGCTGAACATTTAGACAAATTAATGCTGAATGCTCATTTGGCCTCTTATCTGCGTACCGAAAACAGCAAATTATACACAGTTTGGGTATAAACTAAAGCTTAAATCAGGATCGATGTTCAGTGCACATAGATGTAGATAAAAGCGCATTGTACCGATGAATAATTGTAAAAAATGAACTTATTCTCATGTGAATCCAAATGAACGGAATTGGAGAAGAATTCACCTGGATTGACTGATCATTCCGATTCGAATCAGCACAATAATACTTTGAGAAAATATCTGCAGCATTCAGAAAATTGGTATCCGATGGTAAATATAGATTATTGATCTTATTTGGTGATCGATAAGTGATCTTATTTTTCATATTGCTACTAATACCATGAATATTATTAGACATCTTGTAAAATTTTTGCTTTTATATACCACTTTATAGTGAAGTAATTTTCAATTTTGAAACCAAAATAGGTTACAGCATTGTAATATGGAGGCGATACACACACAAGAATGAAGAGCGAACAGTTTTTTGATTAACTAGAATACTTATTTGAACGGAACATATCATCTGTGGGATGGTCGGTAGGGAGAAGGATAGTAATAATGATTCTGAGACAATGTTTATTTCATATGAGATCTACCTCGTCATGATGATCAGTTCATATAAAAGCTCATTAACATGATGCTTTTATTCATTCGCCGCTTCATCACATATTCCATTAATTGTTGAACGAAGTAACACAACGGCAATTATCTATGCGATACTTGGTCAGTTCCATTCGAATACCTATTCAATGCATCAATAGTTGCACACCATTCGCTTGCAATGAAAACTTCCCGTGCAAACGGGGCTGTGAGTCAAATAGATGTCAAATAGACAATTGTATCTGCTTAAGGACTTCACGTGAGCGTTTGCTTTGAATGGTTTTATTTCGAAGACGTCGAATGACTAATTTGTTAACGTTATAAGTAAGCAACATCAGATCAATCAAACAATAGTGTTGGCTCGCTTGCTTGGCCAGGCTCTTGCCTGACTCAGTAATTCGGTACAACCGAAATAGATTAATATGCTGCTATTGTTCCTTTGCACAGCTTGTTGCACAAACCTAGCTGTAGTCATAAAAAGAAAAAGAGGACAAGTTGAGAATTTGAATGAGAGAACTAAAGATGAGGTAAAGTTTGTTTCTATAGTGTGAAGATGGAATGATTAGAATGGTTTAGGGAAATCAAAAGATTGCGGATTAGTTCTATGTGTTGATCTACACTTGAGATTGTCGGCTTTAAACAGAGCTGATTGCTGTAGGCAGATAAATAGGTGGATAAACAGATAGCTAGATATCACGAGCTATCTCATCTCAACTCATCGTTTTCATCAAACTTCTGCTCTCTGCCTATTTATCATTCTTAATCCTAACCTTCATCCGATCTATTCAGTAGCAACTCTTCAGCAACCAAGTACTACAACAGTGAAATAAATAATACTACTAATAAGCTTACTCATTTGAATTGTTTCGAAGTTTATTTTAATTCATTTTTTCACTTTTCCTCTTCATATCATTTCTTTACAGATTCATTCCTTCATTAGTATAAAATCCGTTTGTTGACTTGCATCTGCATCGACGGCTTCCCATGCGAAGGGAAACCATTTATGTGGCTAACGATCAGTTCGATCTTGTAGGTTATCAATTTAATTTTGATAAGGCGCCGATTCGCTATTATAAGTTAGATCTGCACTTGCAATTATCCATTTAATCACACAGATTCGAATGTCTGTACGACATTATCTCTTTTATTATAATGTGATTAAACAAAAAAGCGTTTATTATTCATTGTACGTTAACATACTCTCAAAAACTGCAGGCATCAGAGGCAGAAAACTCGGAAGATGATGAAATTCCAATGGAGATGGACCTCACGACGGCTGGACCACCCATATCTGATGATGAGACAGATATGGAGAAGCCTATCGATAGGCAATCTCAATTCATTATGGTTTGTTTTCATTCATTATGTTATTGTGATAATTGCATTGATAACAAATTAATGTATAATGACATCGGTAACAATAACACCAATTGCAGTATGCTAAAATGATATTGCCTCACGTGGGGTTAGTACTATTGCTAATCGTGTACTTGTTAATTGGTGCTACAGTCTTTCATTATCTGGAAGTACCAAATGAACTTCAGGTCAATTTTGATGAAATTTTTATGGTGTTCTTCACTTGAAATATTATTAGTTCAGTTCATTTCATTCATTTAATTAGATATTGCGATGATTCTGCGAAAAACGGCAGATAACTTTTCGACTTGTTCACAATTTCTGTTTATATCAGCTTCATATATTCACTTTGACATGCCAAATCGCTTGAGATTCATCAATTAGAATAGTACTTGTGAGATCTGAACAGAAAATGAGCAATCTTGACAATAAGATTGATAATCATATCAGTAATAATAATAATAATATTATTATTATTATTGTTATTATTATTAGTAGTAGTAGTAATAATAATAATAACAACAATAATAAATGATAATAATGCGACAACAATAACAATTTGATTGATCCTCTCTGCGATGATCGATTGTTAATGTAGTGTTGAAAGTTCAGACGAAACACAATGAGTTGAGGACCATATTTGGGTTACGCGACAATTTCCATGATACAATCTGGAATTTAACAGTAGCCGGTGATAGTTTGATAACACGAGAGTCATTCAACGGTATCGGGCAGGAATACTTCGAAGCGTTGGTCACGTCTATGTTTGATGCGTACCGCAATCAGTTCATCAACGAACGCCATTTGCTGAATCGTACTCGAGGCGATGAGATGTTATGGACTTATGCAAACAGTATCTTCTTTGCCACTACAGTGATCACAACTATTGGTGCGTTCGTGCGACTGTGAAATAAACATTTAATTGTGCATCTCTACATTTAGGTTATGGTAACTTAGTACCAGCCACTCAGTTTGGTCGTGTTGCATGCATTGTTTTTGCACTTTTCGGCATTCCATTACTGCTGGTCACGATCGCGGATATTGGCAAATTCTTATCGGATTTCTTGAGTTTTCTCTATCGAACTTATCGCGCCTTCAAACGAAAGGTACGCCTGTCTCTCTGACAACAATCAAGTTCACAGTTCATGCATCCATGCCACCAGCAATCATCTCATACTTTACAGGTTCGTAAACAGTCTCGACGAATATCGCACCATTATCGTGATCGCTCCTTATCACAATCTCAACAAAGTGGCTCATCGTCACTTAAAGCTGGCAGCATCAATTTGGGCGATATCGATAGTGATATTGAATCAAGCTGTGAGGTAAGTATTATTATAACAATACTAATAATAATTGCAATGATAATAACCAGCATAACAATAGCAATAATCATAACAACAATAATAATAACACTATTATTATAAAATGAATCCAATGAACCATAAACGATTAAAAAACTGAAAGGATGAACTGCGTATACCAGTTGTTATGGTACTATTCGTCTTGGTCGCGTACACAGCAATTGGTGGACTTTTGTTTCGCGCATGGGAGGGATGGCCTTACTTTGATGCGTTTTATTTCTGCTTTATCACGATGGCTACCGTTGGTGCGTTCTTTGACATTGAGTTTTTGTTTTTGATAATAATAATAATAATTATTATTTTTTTATTCTATTATTATCATTATAATGACAACTGAGACAAATAAAAACAAAACAGAGATATGTCATCAAACTGAAATGTTGAAAAACGAATTCATCTAGTTGTAATTGTATTCATTTATTAAGAGCATCTGAATGATAATGTTATTGCTATCTTCTTTCGTAATCCAATAAGCTTCATTGGTGTTTAATGGCAGGTTTTGGTGACATTGTACCAACTGAGCAGGTCTATATGTTCTTCACGATGGCGTACATTATTTTCGGATTATCATTGTAAGTTTTATATACGAATACAATTGCTTTCAATTCATACGGCGAATAGACATGTTATTTTCATCTTTTTTTGACGGTGAAAACAAATAAATCTTTTTAAGAGCCACGATGTGTATTGATTTGGCCGGTACAGAATACATTCGAAAGATTCACTATTTGGGGACAAAAATGGAGGATGCAAAAGGAGCCGTTATGACGTTAGTTTGACAAGTAATCAACTTTTATTCATCAGACAGCGATCACATTCTGAGAGGATCGAACGACCATTAATTTCATCTATCCGATAAACGATCGAAAATCCTAGAATGATGCCTTCAGGGTCCTCAAACCAATATATTATAATGTTGACTTTAAAAAAATAATTATTTAGTGGTCTACAAGTTGGTGAACACATTTTGAAACATACGGGTATTGAGGTGATCCGAACAGCCGGCGGAAAACTTGTTCAAGTCAGAGGAGCGGTGCTAAACTCAAAGCAAGCTCGTGAATTGGGTGTTGATTATATTTTAGCCGATTTACAATATCAACAAAAAAACATCCTCTATGAACCTTTAAGCCAGGCTGTACAACGACTGGTAAAAAGCAGCAATATCAAGGTACTTATTTATACGTCAGGAATGTTAATGATCAGGATATCAGAATTAATTATGGTATAATCACATTTATGAGAGTTACTCTTATCATCATCACTGTGAACATAAATTTTAGTTGGTGTTTTATTCTAAAATGTCACAAAGTTGATGTCAAACAATCTTGATGTCCAAGTTTAAGCAACTTCACTTGTAAATGAAACAGTTCACATAAGATAAAACAGGAAAAATTGCAGATTTTACCAGACGACATCACCGAGAAAGACGGCTATATTGTACAAAACAAGAGTTACGATAAGCCAGGTGGTAAGCAGTATAAATTACTGAAACGGAATCCGAATGTAATACACCGAATACTGGTACCATCCGATGGTAAAGTGGCAGTTATCGTACCGTTTCTATTGAAAGAATCAGATGTATGACGATAGCAACAATGAGAATAAACATTACAAATAACAAACATCAACATTTACACATACTTGCAATGAAAACACGTCTCGCTCGATAAGGCCTTTCGACCATATTTATGTGTGTATGTGCTTTTATGTATAATTCTTTTCGAAATTTTTTTTTCTGAATTATCATATAGGTAAGATCTGATTGAGCAATATACAATTCTAAAATATCAAGCTTAGTTCATGCGTGATCGAAAGGATATGGCTGAAAAAATGCTCAATTCAAATTTTAGACCGTAGCTATAGCGTTTGGTTTCCTTCGAATCAGTTCAAAACTTGTTCGTCAGTTGCGTCCATCAGTCCCACAAAATCAAATGCCTTGCGCAGATGAGCGGACACTTTCTCAGCATAAATGATCTGAGCTGAACCCATAAACTCTATGAGCTGCTCAATATTGCTGAAGGGAAATTTCCTGAGCCTAACTTTTCTTCATCAATCAACCATGCTGATTACTGATCGTGAGTGTCCACATCTGTGTAGATATGCCAGTGTTCATGTTTCCGTTTCATCTGCACCTTAAACTTTTGTGCAACGATTTCAAAAAATCTATTAAAAGTGCCAACGACGTCAAATGCCGTCCTGATTCATTATATGATGAAACAGCGAATATAGAACGGTTTGGAAAAGTTGGTTTTCGATTTATCGGAATGAATGACACAGCGATCATGCCGTGCATAAGAAAGATCAACTTTTATTGCATATTACAGATGACGCTCAAAAACTCGAACAAATGATACAACTAAGACATTCAAAAATTTCTCGCGCTTTCCATAGATGAACAAAATCATCGACATGCTTCAGTTACTGAAAAAGTGGGTCATGAGCATATATTATGGTTGATCCGAGGTCTCTTGAGAAGATACCGGATTTTGACGAATGCAAGGTTGATAGCGAGTCGTCGATGGATAAATGCGATCCTAACATCCGGTCTTCAAAGAGGCATAATGAAATTACTTCAGCCGAACTTCGTTTCACCTTGGAAAAAACCATTGAGGATGATGACTCCCATCTTGAGCATACCTACCTTCTTAGTTGAATGACAGATGTCAGTTCATATCCACGACAGCAAGAAGCATACCAAGCTATAACGCTTCAAATGAAAATTTTAATATAATTATTAGGAAACAATGATATAATGATATTTCATATGCATCTTTCACGTTATATGAAAGTACTCTCCAAAAACTCGAGTTGTAATTATCATTTGTGAGGTAGGAGGCGTGCGCCGCTTTTCGTCTGGGCCCGCTTGAGGTGTCCATTCTAATAATCATTTCGCCTACCTTACATCGCTGATGATGATGACGAATTTTTTGACGATGGAGATGATATGAATGCTATCAATACAGCATACTGTAGTATCGTGTGACTATAGATGAATAAACGTTGATCAGATGATGATGTAATGGGTGAAGGGGCGATAAAATTAGTGACTGATATTGTGATTGTGACGATAATATTCGATGAGTGGAGCGATTAATTACATGTTCTTCAATGAATTGGTGGTAGTGGATGATGGAAGCTATCTTCTTTTCACTATCATTTTAGAGATAAAAATGATAAGTTAGTGAAAAGAAGATAGCTTTGTTTGGAACGGGCTTTGTTTCCAGTGTAGAATGCAGATATGGATATGCAGGTGGACAAAATGAATTAATGCAATGTGCTAACTAGTGTAAAGCACTGTTTCATTCACAATAAAATGCTAATGCAAAAGCGATTGGCATTCACCGCGTGCCTTAGTTGTCGCTTTTTCACACCAAAGTCACCGGTGAAAGCGATTCGCAAATGCAAACAAAAATACAGCGTATATGAATATTCAGTAACAATTGCAGTAATAATAAGATGACCGATTCAAATAACTCTCACACGAATCAAATCATGAAATCCACATCGTTCTCATTATGAATATATACATGTAAATAAGAACACCAATGAACCATTTCTCTCTTGTCCAGTGCATAAACCCACCAAATTTTACGAAAACACATCACATTTGAAAACCATTTGCATTCATTAGAAGGAGAACAATGTTTACCATAATTAGTACCTTAAATGAACGGACGGATAAGCAATGAAACGATGAGCAATAATCAATCTTAGGAGATTAATATCCACTCCTTGAATGATAATGCAAAATACAAATTTAACTTGTGATCATAGTGAGATTTGCGATGACTATGATATTACAGCATCGCTAAATAGCTTCAAGAAGCGCTTTGAGCATGATGTAAGTGATCGAATACGCACGCTATCAATGGCAACCGTAACCAACCAATTAAATAAATCAATTAATATTGCTCGTGAGAATGACAAACAGGTGTTTATACGTGAACAGTTCAGCTTAATTTGTTACCAAGTCACCGCCGAAATCTGAATTACACAAAGAACTGTTCTCAACAACGAGTGAATAATTAGGCTGCACTTCGGCCAAGTCCCACAAAAACGGTGAAATCTAAAACTTCTACAGCTGTTCATTCATTTGTCAAAGCTTCAAAATGCAAGTAACCAAACCGACTGCAGTTGGTGACATGTGATAAAGGAAAATTTAAGCAAGATTTTAGGACAAAAAGATTTTCATTTTGCAGTTAAGATAGCAAATAACCCAAAAGAGCCGCACAGAATTTGTTTTCTTTCGAGAAACAACGCGAAAAGTGAAACTAGCCATTAACTGCAGTTATGCATTAATGACTAATATTGTTATCACCAACAACAGAAACGCTACTAATAATGATGGATATTGAAATGACAACAATGAGCGTAACTTTTTCGGCATGAAAATATTCACTTAAGTGAAAGTGAACTGACTAACCACTAATGAATATTTCATCGAACTCCACAAAGACTATCGGTCGCTGAATGGAGCTGGTAGTTAGTAAGTAATCTGAACTCGGGGAACGACGAAGCTGAAGGGATGTGGATCTGATCTAGTACAGATCAGTTAGGGAGATATCAAGATGACGATGAATGTTAGAAGCAACCACCTCGGGCACAATTCAACAATGCCTCCGTCCAGGCTGCATTTGAAGGAAACAGAAGCAAAGCGAAACGAAGAGAACAGAGGCAAAGCGCTCAACGGCGCAACAATCAAACCAACTGAATGAAGTATGGGCGACGAGTTGAGTGAACACATACATCACTGTCTCGAAAAGAGACAAGACATGCCTGGGCCATGTCAGGCCATACGGCACTGAACAAGAGACGAGATGCAATGCGTTGATGCGATGCGATGACTAGTGTACTGCGATCAGCTACGCCTTCAGTTAAATAAGGCCACGAAGCACTACGACTGCGCAGTATGAATGACACAGGCATGCCTAAGCCTAGCTAGGCTTGTCATACACACATCCTTTCCACAACCAGCCAACGGCAGCAGCAGCAGCAGCATCATCACCCAAGCTGTGCCTGTCCATAGTGACTAAATGAACCAGACGACGACATCTAAACAGAATTGAATCGATGCTTTCCAGGCTGACTATAACGGTGTTGCATTATATATCTTCTGGCTACTTCTCTTTCATGTTCATGCTTCATCGTTCTAGTGAAACACATACACACACGCACATAGATCACGCAATTACGCCAACGAGTAGCATGCACACACCATTCATTCATCTATCTGGCAATATCTTTGCTACTAACCACAACTAGCTACTGTACTTTTAAAGCAAATCCAAATACTTCCACTGAACAATCTAAATTATTCCTTATTCAATGTCCTTCCTTTTACAGCCTAGTTTCATTCTTTCATTACCTTTTCTGCTATACACGCAAAAAATTGCTTACATATCGGTGGCCATAACCACTAATGGCTAGCAGCAGCTGCTGCTGCCATCTCATGAACTACTTATTCAAAAACGAACCTATCTATTCAACACAACGGTCTATCTCCACACCATAGATGCATACAAACCGTCCGTCCGTCCATCCATCCATATATTCATTTATTCACCCATCCACTCATGCATTTATCCATCAATCGATCCACATCCTCTCCGTTCACCCTCATCCTCCTCGTTTCGTCCTCTATTTGTCAAGCTTCACTCTTTCTCCTTCTATGTGTAATCCGCCTTCATCACCTTCCACTTTCTCGAACGACAAACATTACCCATCGTTGACTGAATTCAACTGGGACGCAGCGCCATACACTGCTTCTATCTATGTTATCACCACCAACTTCACTATCATACACATCCAGAGCTTCTAAGTGGAGCATAGCACGGTGCGACATGGCTCAGTGTTGAACACTTTATGCTCTGTATCACTCTAAAGCAGCAGCAAAATAAGTCAATAATAAAAAGCACACTGACAACGAGTCCAAGCAGCTTAACCAGGCTTGAGCAAAGAAGACGAACAAGAAGACGAAAACAAACTGGTTGGTTACATGCACAAATAGAGGATAGATGCATGAGGACATGAATGAATGACATGGATAAAGTACAAATGAATAATCAATGAGTGCACTTATTTGGAATGGTCTGTTTGAATGACACTCGTCACCACTATCACTTGACAGAAATCAGATGCAAGCAGTTTTCGCCTATCGTCTACTACTGATACTTAGAATGAGACGACTGATTGACAGAGTGTACGCCCGTTCTTCCATTCTATTGCTCGACAAATTACTTCTTCACACTGCTATCCGTGCGATCGAAACCCTACTTAGTCCATCCGTTTATTCTCCTTCTCTCTATCACTTCTAGGCATTTTCAAGCTCCTTCTGATGCTTTTCATACAAATAGTGTCAATTCGTCCTTGTCAGTGACGTTATAGCAGCTGCACTAAAAATCTAACTAATCTTCATAGAGTAGCAACTGCAAAATCATTACTGGATAACTCGACGGCCATAGCAACTAGACAAACGAAAGCATGAAATGCACAATAACGCAACATTGCATTCTTCATCCAACCGATCCTACACCTCCTTCCACTGACTTACCGCATGCAATAAATAACTTCATCTATCCAGCTATATATATCATCCAGATGTACCGAAACTTTGATCAGTAGCACTCTGGACGATTGATAGATGGAAAATTAGATGAAGTGATAGGAACAAATATAATAAGGAAGAGAGAAAAAGCAGAACTAAGAATGAACGAAGAAGGAGACAAGAAAAGGAAACAAAACAAAAGCAAACTGAAAAAAAAAAGATATGTATGTGAAAGTAAATATAAAAACCTCAGCGTTGTTATTATCAACCCTCTTTCGAGCAATAGCATTGTTCTGAGTGATGAAAGTGGGTGAATAAGGAGATGTAGGGATGGATCGAGCAAATCAAGACGATTTCAACAATCCAATTCAAATAGCACACGCTAGAGATGGCCAAATCGTGCAATAAACGCTGCTACCACACGCATACGCACAAACACCACATTCAAAGAACGAATTTCCTATCAGTGTTGTGATTATCATTGTCCTTCGTAAGACATTTTCTCGTTCATCCATCCGTCCAGTAGCTATATTCATCGTTCAACAATCTATTCCACTACCTCATATTATTTCAGTCATTCTCATCCTTTCCCTTCTCCAACTTCAGCACTAATAAAAACCGCCATTCAGTTTACTCACTTGGTCTAAAACTTACACCCACCAACTCCTAGATAGCAACGATCCTCTATGCAATCCATACGTATGATCAAACAACAGGCATGATGCATATCTCGGAGCAATTAGGAAAGCTATCAAATCAAAACAACCAAACGATTGACTACGCAACATGACCAAATAACAGAATATGAAACGATTAAATGCGATAATAATGACTTATTCAGGTGCTATTTATAATCCATTGATTGCGAGGAAGAGGGTGATGCTGTATATTTAGGGATATTTATCTGCTGATGCTGATGATAAACCATTAGCAGCAACCAACTACTCAAAATGATGACCGGATTATGATTGTGAGCAATCGACTGACCGACCCATCTTACAAACAATACAGGCGCGTTACCTACTGAGAGTAGGCACGATAGGATAAGACGAGGTGTTAAGCCAGGTTAAGGGTATGGGACGAGGGGGTAATCATAGGGCTATTGGTAGATGAGTGGTGAATGCATGGCTGAATATAGCGTGAAGCAGATGTGGATAGGATGACAACTACATTCATGCGCCTCAATAGTGCATGCTGAATGCATCACCACAAATAATCACTCATCCAACCAATTATAATATATATACTCTCACAACACATTCTGGCTTGCATTCTCATTTCTGCATTTATGTGCAGTTGGTAACAGTATTAAGAATCAAATAACATCATGCACCTTATTAACTGCTCATTATACTAAAACTTACACATACATATCAATATATTTATATATATATATATATATATATATATATATATATATATA